CACGCAAAGCAAAAGTAGTAGTAGTAGTAGTAGTAGTAGTAGTAGTAGCAGCATTCGTAGTCGTAGTAGTAGTAGTAGTAGCAGCAGCAGTAGTAATAGCAATAGTAGCAGTAGTAGCAGTAGGAGCAGTAGGAGCAGTAGGAACAGTAGCAGTAGCAGTAGCAGTAGCAGTAGCAGTAGCGGCAGCATAAGCAGTAAGCAGCAGCATAAGCAGTAAGCAGTAGCAGTAGCAGCAGCAGCAGCAGCAGCAGTCGTTGTGGTCCCCGTCGTCGTAGTAGTCGTTGCGGTTGTGGTGGTGGTAGTTGCTGCTGTTGTCACTGTTGCTGTTGCTACTGGTTGCTCTACTTCGTCTTTGTTGTTTCTGGCGTTATTGTAGTAGTAGTTGCTGTTGTTGTCGCTGCTGCTGCTGCTGCTACTGCTGCTGCTGCTGCTGTTGTTGTTGTTGTTGCTGCAATTGTTGTTGTTGTTGTTGTTGTTGCTGCTGCTGCTGCTGCCGCCAACAGCACTGCCCGCAAGGAGCAGAATCTGCTCGCTGAGCAATTGAATTATCGATAGTTGGTGATTGTGATGGTGGTTATGACCATTGCACCTGTGGACTGACAGCACTGTATTTTCCAAGACTTACCGCGTTCTCCCCCAACGCACGTCTGCTGCTATAGATAATTCGGAAGCACTTCTATTCTGTCTACGCTTCCATCAGGAGAGCGGCTGCAGAAAACAAGCAGGGCACTCGACCTAGAGCCACATTATGTGAAGTACTGTAGTTGTCATTCAACACGAAAAACTGCTTGCGATTGCGTCTTTCCTGCGGTCGGAGGTTAATGTACGAATGAGCTACAAGTAGCTGTACCGTGAGCTGCACAATGCTCCGGCAATCCCCAGCAGCTGACAGCAATTCACCTGCTGCGTGTGGCACTTCCGACATGCGAAGATCGCAGGAGGAAAGAAATTGCCGAGAGCTGGATGCCACTGAAACCATTGTCATTCTAATTGGGCATAGTTAAGGGCCTCGAAGCATGCTGATGTTAGTGGCTGCTGGTATGGACCTGAGCCAATGAAGGACCCAGACCAAAGGTGACGAGCTTTACAGCATCTCCAAGTCTGTGCCTGTAACACCGTCCGCGTCTTGGTCCAAAGGTGCCGCTGTCCCGGTACTTGGGAGTTTCCGACATTAGGGGTACCTTATTTTGGGGTCCTTATAATAAGGATCCTACTGTTTAGGGTACTATATTAGGGTCCCCTATTCTCGGAAACCCCCACTTGGAGTTTAGGGTGGCATGTTCTTTGACTGAGGCCTGCTCCGAACGCGTGGATGAAGCATTCGGCGGTCTTGTCAGGATCGGGTACCGCCGCGTCCTTACGCAAGGCTGCTGAGTTTTGACGTACACATGTCCGGATACTCCCACGTACTGCTGACTCATGATATCTTATCTTGTCTTGGCTTGTCGTATCTAACCATGTATCGTATCATCACATCTCGTCCCATCTCATGTCTCATGATTATGTCGTATGATTCGTATCATAGTATGACACACTGATCACATCATACCAGGTCACATTGCTATATTATGCCATCCAGATGCCATCTCCTCACCCCGCATGTTGTGTCATACCATGTCAGAACATACCCACCTATCCTTACTTGGAGGTTCATGGGTAGTTATAAGTAGGTTTATAAGTAGAGTAACTATAATTATAACTCATATTTGGGGACTTATAACCCCACTTATAACTACCCATGAACCTCCAAGTAATGCAAGAAGACCAGGTTCTCACAGCTCGGGGCCGGCGCGCGGTTTCCCCCAGCACCAAGCAGGAAGAGGCCAGGAGCGATACTATACTACCTTAAGAACCCAAAGCCTACTTTTTTGTAGGGTCCCTATAAATCCCATGTTAGGGTTTAGACTAAGAGCCTACAAAAAAGTGGGTTTTGGGTTCTTAAGGTATACTGTACTGTCCTATACTATACACGTGGAAGTTTAGGGTTCAGGGTTTAACGGTTTGGGTTTTGGGGTTTCGGGCTTTAGGAGCTATAGATTTTTAAGGTTTAGGGTTTAACGCTTAAGGGTTTAGGGTTTTACATGCTGTGCTCTTCGGATGCGAGCTGAGATCAGGCGCGCTCTTTCCAAGAAGATTTGCGGAGGCTGGAGGCCGCCGTCCCGTCTTTTTTGGCTCCTAAACCCCCACTTTTGGGGCCTGAATAATTCGAATCGGGTTTGGGGGTATAATGTACTAGAATCATCACAGAGAACCCGCGAAACCCTGTTCTAATTTTTAAGGCCCCTACACTACACCCTAAATGCTAAACCCTAAACCCTAAACCCCTAACCCCCTAATCCCCTAAACCCTAAACCCCTAAACCCAAAGCCCCTAAACCCCCAAACTGAGGGCCCTAAACCCTACGTAAGCAGAGCTTCAGGAATGGTACAGGCAGCAAGCGTTTGTTCACAGTCCCGTCGCGTCCT